TGACTGAGGTAGACAGGTGTGCAGGGGTGGGGGATGACAGTGCACATGTTCTTAAGGTCCAGAGATTGTTCCATCCAGGTGGTGAAGTACATTGCATCGCTACATACTGTGCTATGGCAGAGGTATTTTTAAATTGATATACAAATAACATATGAGTGATTTCTCATTGCAAAAACAGAGAACCTTATATTTAAGGCTAAATTCCCCTTCAACCACTATCTTTAATCCCAATCCCTCCCCACAGGTAACCGCTGTTATCAGGCTGGGGTAGACCCTTCCATTTAGTTCTCTAGGTAGTACAGTGTATGAGTTTGCTGGGGCTGCTGCGACAAAGTCCACAGACTGCGTGTCTTAAACAATGGACATTTATTTTCTCACAGTTCTGGAGGCTAGAAGTCCAACATCAAGGTGTCGGCAGGGTTGTTGTCTTCTGAGGCCTCTCTCCTTGGCTTATACATGACCCTGATCTCCCCGTGTCTTCACATGGTCTTCCCTCTTCTTATATGGACACCTATCATATTGAATCAGGGCCCACCTCACTCGGCCTTAACTACCTGTTTAAAGGTTCTGTATCCAAATATAGAGAGAATCAGAGGTCTTGGGGGTTACGACTTCAACATACAAATTTTGGGTGGACACACTTTACCCTGTAGCATATTGTTATGTAATGTCTATGTTAGTAAATTTAGTCATACTTCCTGTTTTCAATACTGCATAGCATTCCAGAACATGGATAAATCAGACTAGCCAGCTCCTTTTGATGGGCATTTACGGATGGTGGGGTGGTGTTGTTTTTTTTTTGAAGTTTTTTTTTCTCCCTCTATTCCAAACAAGGCTCAATGAATGTCTTTTATATGCTTCCTCATTCTCATAGGAAAGTCCCTCTGGGTAGACTTGGAATCTGGAAGTTGCTGGGGCAGAGGGTGCGTGCATTTTTTTTTTCTTCCTTTTCTTTTTCTCTTTTTAGCTACATGATGACACCATTCATATAGTCAAAACATTCAATTCTTGTAATTACCAGGAAGGTCGGGTTAATTTTTGTTGTAGCCTCACCATGGACAAAGTTGGGCTGACTAT